CTTCAGGTTTTGCCCCAGCATTTGATTTGAAACCCTTGTCCGTATGTTGCGATAAATAATGATAAATAATACCACATTAGAATTGCAAATTTGGATAAAGAGCAGGTAGAGCCCTAACATTTCTCAGTGTATTTTCAACAGCTGTAATGTTATGAAAAACATGCAAAGAGGATCAGCAGAGCAAATGTTTATTGTTCCACCCTATAATCCTCTGTTCTTGACACATGCATTCATGGTAAGCTGTTCTAACTAAAATATATTTTATAGTTCTCTTAGAATGTTGTATTATTATATGTATTTAAATATATGAAGATACAGCCTAGACTATTGTTCCAGAATAGTTCTGCACTTATTCCATTTATTCTGTAAATGGGTTGCAAAATTCAGTACATTGCAAATCAACGCAAAATAATTATTTTGAATAAATCCAGAGAAACTAAAAGAGCTTATTGTTTAAAATCACATGTTTTCTTTCCAAAGCAAAAAATGTCTAGAAAATAACACCTACATTTTTGATAGTTAAAAGTCTGGCTCAGTCAGTAGTACTCTCACCTCTGTGTCAAAAAGGGTGGGTTAAAGACCACACCACGACTGTGACTTTATAATCTGTGCTGCATGACTCGAGGTACTGTCTTTATGAAGTAGTGCTAAACAGGATTTGTCAGCCCATTGAGGTGAATAGTGAAGATCATATTGTGAAAGTGTTCTGGCCAACAGTCCACCCTCTTCCAAATTAATCAAAAACGCTTAAATTGATCTTTCACATCTTAACAGCTGTGCTGGTGTGATGCAAATCTGTTTGGAATCCTTTTCAAGTAGGGTTTCCAGAATTACCCAGTATTCCGAATATTACCTACGAGTGATTTCTACAAGATGGAATAATTTTTCAATTTTGTACTCATGGAAAAAAACGGCAAATGATTAAAATGATACCCAAATTATTTTTCTTTATGTTTATTGTTTCCTGTTACAGTATACATTATCTGCACTCGTCTACATAATAATGTATTTGCCTTGCCATTGTCTTATTTCTTCAAAGTCTGTTTAAATGCTGTTTCATTATAATTCGAGATAATCAATACTTTCCTCCAAATTCATAAGTTGCTCCAAGAATATTGTTCAGTTTGTTAAGGCACTAAAAATATGTAATGCATTGATGGGAATGCATCAAGTGTTTGAACATTTAAGTTAAAAGATTAATAACTTTGGGGTTTATTTTACATTAATAACTATGCGAGAAATTAAATGACACAGAGATATAAACCAAAGCATTACAATGTATACTGAGCACAATGTCTAACCCAGGACAGAATAGTTCAAGATCGTTTATTTTTACCACATAATCACATTTTAACAACATTTTAGCGCATAATGACATTTGTAATGTAGCATGAAGATTTCAGTCGACTGCTTTGTTAAGCGAGCAGTAACATGTGGTTAAACTGTACCTGTAGGGCAGATGAGTTTTATTTCAATAATCCACATATAATCTGGAAAGCCTTGTCATTGGAAGATGCATATTGCATTTCTTAAAATGCCTTTGAATGAAACAGTAAATTTACAATTTCTACTATTTATGCATATATTGTCTGTAATAGAAATATCAAGCCATAAGTGAAACAGAATTATTTTGTAACACAAGGAACAATTCCAGGACATTCATTCAGGCAATAGTTTACCAGATTCCACTGCCAACTTTTCACACTTAATTCTTTGTGTTAAACTGACAGCATTCTTTTTTTTCACAAACATCTATTGTTAGGACAATGATCCCAAGCAGAATTTATGAGAAATGGAATTATGTTACCAAGGAGATAGCATTTACTATAATGAAGAGTAGATCCTAGAAAATGGCCTCTTTTACTGCAGCTCAGAACAGAGCCACAAAAGCAATTGATTGGTCTTGGCATTTAGTCTTATATCAGCTGTGTCATCCATGGCTTCAGGAGAGAGAACACTAATCTAAAGTGACATATGTGTTCTGGCGGGCTTTTCTTTCCCTGATGAAAGCAATTACTCCATTCCTAAATGATAATTTGCTGGAGTTTCAGCCAGTTTAATTGATAATTTTTTTGTGCTCAGAAGTTCAATTGTAGAGTGATTAGTTGAACTGGTGAATAAAAATCCATGGTGTTAAAATACAAAAGTAATTTCACCTTGACAGGGCGTTAACTTATCGCTCTTAGAATATGGTGCTTTCCTTAAAGCTGATTGCATTTTATTAACTGGAAAAGTATTTTGGAGATAAATGGTATCAGAGTAATATACTAAAGTAACTGTTTTCAATACTAAAATGTTTAAATGTACAAAAAAAGGATAAAGGTCAAACATCTTATTATTACTTGGAAACTTGTAGCTCTGAACTTAATTCAACTTGAGTTTGTGGAACAAATTAATTGTTGCCTTTGTATCACATTTTAGATCTAAACATGCATTACAGCTAATACCATACGTTGCCCATCTATTGGTGCAGTTTTACTGATGTGTGCTAGAATGATCTGCAATGGGAGGCTTTTCCTTCATGTGAAGGAAACATGTTAAAAAAAAGTACTTCAGAATGGTGTTATAGATGTGTAAAACTACAAACTTCATGTATTTATACAAGGCAATTGAAAGTCCATAACGCCATTATTTATTTAGGAGGTAATGTTGAGATCTTTAAATTCCCCAAACGACATAACAAACAAATAATATTGCAGATGTGACCTCTGGTTCTGTTACAATATAGAAGTGAAGAAATGGAGGCTCATTTTTTCCCACACTCCGCAAGTGAGAGAATAATTTACTTTTACTATTGTTGTACTTCTGCTATAAATCAAGGGGACTGGATAGTGGCAGGCATATACAATGCTGTAACTTAATCAAGTAGATTATGAATGGCGTCAGAACCCTGAAACTTGTACAAGCTCATTGCCGGCTATTCATAACATGCTTTATTTTAAGTATGGTTTGTACTTGCTAACTGTGTAGTTTAATAAATTGAGTGAAACATTACTAAAGTGAAAGTTGCTGCCTAATTTTGTTTGCTACACTGAAGGCATTTGATGACCAATCTATTCTGTATGTGTGATATAAAAATTTAGGAGCAAATTTTCTTTTGCCAGTTAGCACTGTTTAGAATTTAAAGTCGAATGCTATACTGTAGACTGAGGCAGAAAATTGGCTGCAGTGGATTATTTCTCATTGTTCTTTCTCTTTTGAGAAAGGTCTGTAAACTTCACATGCATTAAGTTCTGTATCTTTCATTCAGAGGGAAAAATAGAAGAACAGTACTGGTGTGGTGAGGAGTGGTTTCAGGCTAAGTCAGTTTCAGGATCTGACACTATTCATAAACCATTTGATTGAGTTGTAGCCTTGTAACTCACTGTCACAATCTAGTCCTCTTGATCTGTAACACAGGTATGCCATCTGTGAGATGCATGGCTCTTACATATGTTTAAGAGTCAAGATCCTTGTTTGTGTCTAAGTTAATAGCCAATCTTTTTATTATTAAATTAAACATGCATTTATATGTTGGGTTCAGTTCATATTCTATTCATACTGTGCTGAAGAGATTTCTTAGCTTACACATATGGACTGACTGTACTGGCCAGATTGTTTGTGCTTCAATGGCATTGTATAAGGAGATATTGAAGCGAATTGTCAGCTGTGGTTTGTGGATTGTAGGTTGTATCCCGCTGTAGGCTTCAAGGGAAAGCTGTTATTTCCACTGGTCAGATTGTGCTCAACAGCCTCCTTTTCTGAGGATTTGCTGTTATCATGTTGTAGAAAACTCTAGAAACTGAGCAGGATCTGGAGTTGATTTTGAAGTATGTCGTGATCTTGACTGCCTTGTGAATTGCTCATTAGAGTGGGTGGCTGTTGGGGAATAACAGAACCTCAAGAAGTGTGCTCTTTTGATGACATAACCTCCGGCATTCCTCTGTCACAGAGTGGTGGAACGTAAGAAGCCGACATGAGAATATGTTTGTTGTGTGATTTTGAACTTTCTTTCCAAAATTATATCGCTTCTGAGTATTTGCCTCCATACCGCTACCCACTCTACTTCCATTATCTAGCAGACTGGACTTTGTCCAGGTCTCTTTCATGCTTTCTGTGCAAACGGGCAACTTGTGTAGGATAGAGATGGGTCTCACTACTTTTCCTAGATGGTGGGAAGAGAAATCTTGGCATTTGGCTTGTGCTAGAATCTGGAAATAATGGAACTCGTCAAATTAATAGGCAAATCAGTGAGTCACGAGTGTTTAGTGATATTTTGTTTTCTACTATATCAATCTCAAATTGATACCAGGTTTTGATTGCCAGGGTAACAGGAGGGGTTAGCTCTGTCATTGCCATGTCACTCTTTGAATTTTTCTAAAAATCCTAATTTCAAAAGATATTTCCTCTATCTTTCATTTTCTCTTGTGCCGTTCACTAGATCAGAGTGCTGATTGTAGCGAGGGGGCCTTGTTTCTTGGCGCCATTGCTTGCTTTTGTATTTATTAGGAGGTAATTGAGAATAGTTGTCCACCTTTTCACATTCTCTCTCCCTCTCTCTCTCCCTTCTTTACGAGGTATTGAACTTGAATTCAGTACCTTCAGCAATGATGTAAATTGGTCCATCTGAAACTGTGGGCAACAAATCCATGCCTTTTCACCTTGAAACACATTGTATAGGAGCGGTCATTCATCATGTCAAAGCTGTTAAAATACATGCATACAGTATTGTCTCCAACTGCAAAGGTGTTTTCCACTTTAATTTCTGATATAATCTTGTTCAGAAGAATGGAAGGACCCTTTGAACAGCCAGAGCATTCTCTTAGTCAACCAAAGATTTGCAATTTGGTTGTTTTCTTTTAGCCGTTGATTATCATCCTCAAAATGTAACGGATTTTATTGTAAATTTTATCTGACTTCTGCTGAATTTTTACTATGGGCAGAACCATATTTTTTAACCAGTGTTGATTTTTTACATTTTTTATCAGTGGTACTCATGTCAGTGTTTTTCTCCCCCTCAGTTTACAAGCCTTGCGAAAGGAGAAATCTCGAGATGCTGCTCGATCTCGCCGGGGAAAGGAAAACTTTGAATTTTATGAATTGGCAAAATTGCTCCCACTCCCAGCAGCCATCACAAGTCAGTTAGACAAGGCATCAATCATCCGACTCACCATTAGTTACCTGAAAATGAGGGATTTTGCCAACCTAGGTGACCCTCCCTGGAACTTGAGAATGGAAGGACCACCACCGAATATTTCTGTGAAAGGTAAGAAAATAAGTTTTTTTTTAGAATACTTTTACTGTCTTACTATTCATGTGCATATGCTATAAACATGATCATTTTTACCTCAAGATCTGAAAGCAGTTTGTGCTGGTGCATTGTATTCATTCTGGTTAGCAAAGACCAATACTTTACTTGGTTTTTAGTCTTAAAACCACAGACCTTTACAGCAATGAAGAAGGACATTCAGCTCATCATGTCTGTGCTGGTTCTTTGAAAGAGCGATCCATTAAGTTACATTTACCTGCCTTTTCCCTACACCCCGTCAAATAATGTATTTTGTATAATATTTTGTATAATGTAATAATGTATTGTGGAGTCCTGTAGCTCAGTGGTTAGAGCACTCGCTTTCCAAGTGAGAGACCTGAGTTCAATTCCAGGCAGGTCAGGGCGAAACCTTGGGCAAGTTTCCTTACTCCACACGCCTAATAATAATCCCTCCAAAACCAAAAACAGTAATAAAAATTGGTCATTTTCAATCTACGACTGTTTGTGGGACATTGCTGTGCGCAATTGGCTGCCGCGTTCGCCTACAAATATACAGTCAATTCCCTTTACAGTGTGTTCTGTGAAGCACTTTGGGACGTCCTCCCGACGTGAAAAGCACTATATCAAATGCAAGGATTATTATTACTATTATTTTAGATTGAATAGTAAGACACTTTTTAGATTTCTATCTATCTATTTCCCTTTTGAAAGCGAATATGAATCCTGTCTCGACCACTCAATAGCCATTTAGTAGAATACCATGTTTTAAAGTCTTCATAGGATTGAAAAGCATTACCTGGTGAGGTTGTGTTGTGGATCACCAGTAGCCACTCCTGCATTGATACTGGTTCCACTATCCAAGATACAATCCTAAAATAAAATGCCTGGAGAATGTAAAGAGCAATGAATATGAATTGGAAAAATAAACAGAACTTGATTTATCTTATTTAGTTCACTCCTGTAAGACATTTATGAAAATTAGTTGCATACAATATAATTTTAGATATATAATAGTGTCCTCTGAGATACTGTTGTATTAATGCTGGGATTTAAGTTATCATGGAGGATGATGGCCCTTCCAAAACTTTCCACGAACTCTGTCTTAATTCCCCCCCACCCACCTCAGCTTCCTGGACCTAATTCAAAAAAGGAGGGGCATTCTGCTCCTGTTTGGTAAGGGCGTACATGCCTGTTTTTGTGATTGGAAATGGAACAGTGCCGTTTTTTCAATAACTGGTGTGAGAGTTTACCCTTGACAGCAAGATATCTTTTCTGAGCCTCGGTTTGGGCACACATTCATTGGTCCCTGATCGAGTGGAGTACTCACATTTTTTTTGCCCCAGAGGAAAATGAGCTTGCCTTGATCTTTTATTTCATTCTCTTATCCATGGATTCGATGAGCTTCAGCACTGCTTTAGAGGCTTGGAAGTGAGATCTGAACACCATTATCTCCAAGGAGGAGTGGGAGGATATCTGTGCAACTGTATCTTGGATTACCCCTGGCGAGTAACTGAAAATTGGCCAATTTAAAATACTCCCCTAGACAGGCCTCAGAATGCTTACTATAATAGTTTAAAATAGTCTCTTAGGATTGCTGAAGGGGATGTATGGGTCATATTTTCCGGTCATGCACTAAGGTCCAAAAGGTCTGGTGAATGACAAGTTAATGTTAAATGTCTTTGAGGAATTGAGCAGCCTTTCCTGCTCGAATCGCATAATTTTTTCTTATCAATGCACTCAGTGAGCTCTAACTTTGCACAAGTGGTCTGGAGAAAGCAAAATATTTTTCTTTAAAAGCAAAAAATGTTTTGGTAAACTGACTGATCAGACTTGGTCCTATTCCTGCTTTACCAGTATCTTGGCGTTTTACCAGACTAACACACAATTATGCTTCACACTCCACATTCAACAAACTCTTTCCCTTGCAAGTGAGTCTGACTACCTTTGCTGTTATACGTTGGAATGTTGGATTATCTTTTCTCCCCCCCCACGTTAATTACCCCCAAAAATGTATCATAGTATTATCCTTACTGCTTATACTGTTGATTAGAATTACACTGCTGCATATTAACATTACAATGACACTGGCAATATGACAGTTATCCCTTACATTTCAATTTCTGAAACATTGAGTGCAGTTACGTACTGCCATAGTTAGTGCTAATAGTGGTATTTGAAAAGGGCAGATAAGAGATGGAGCACATCATTTGTAGATAACTGTATACAGAGAGGATGTTTTTAAAATTCCCCAAAATTATGCTCTGTTGGCCTGAATAAGTAGATTTCTGTTATAATTGTTATTCTATACTTTTTAAAAAAATAAGGTAAGCACATACCACTTGTATTTAAAAATAGAGGCCATTTGGAAAAGCATGTAAGAGAATTCACCGAATTTCTGAATTGGGAAAGAGTGAGGAGTATCGATTTTAGATCAAATTATCCCAAACTACTTACGGAATTTAGCAGATTAGGATAGAAAACAAGTTAATAATTTAGAACAGAGTGTTTATTAAATCTCAGTAGGATGTAATTCTTCTTATTCCAAATGGTAACTGGAAATATAAATATCAGTGCATTATCATTATTCAGATCACAAATTGGTGGAAACAAAATAGAGAACATCCTAAAGAATGTCCTGTGAAAATTGTTGTCTGTATTCTTCAATGGACATTTTTAATTACCAACTAATTGAACCAACTTGATCTAACATATGAAGAAGCATCCTGGCTAATTGCCTCTATTTAAAAAAGCTGTTAACATTATTATTTGAATTAATGCAATGTAAAATAACAGCTGCTAACCATCAACTGCTAACTGCTGCATTTAGCCAGACCTTTTCTGATTATGTGGTTCATCAAAATAGTTAAACTGGTTGGAGTTAGAATATTCACATTTAGATGAGGCAGCAGCTTAATCCGAAGTTCATTGCCATTATTGCGATCCAATATGCCAAAATACTTTCTTCTGTGCTATACTTTCTAATCTTCTAGAAGTATTGCATGATAATATATGCTAATGATTGCATATATCTGGTCTGTGCTGAGAAAGCTGGGGTCTGCCTATTGGTCTAAAGAGGAGAGAAAAATCAGCCAGTGCTCCTGTTCATGATCATTATCCAGTGGCCCCTGATGGAAAGTGCACACAGCTGTGGATGTAAAGGTGAGAGGAGTTTTAGCCTCAGCTGAGATATTCTCTATGGTTGAGCAGCCTGCCAGTAATTACTGTCTACAAGTCCTATATGAGCTGCAACTTCGTTTAGCTGAACATTAACAAAACTGAAGCCATCTTGTTTAGTTCTCAACAATCAACGTCTCGGGCAAATGGAACCAGTGTGTAACTTTGACATTGTGGTTAACTCCAGCTTCAAATGCTTTCTTCCAACTCTTGAACTTTGGCCACTTGCCTTTGCAGTTGAAGCCCCATCCATACTTTAATACCTCAAGATTAAACAAATCAGTACTGCCCGCATCGACCTCTCTAGCTCCACAAGCTTCAACAAACTAAAACGCTATAGCACATATCCTCTCCTCACTAGACTTTACATACCTATCACCCCCAACCTCGCCAGTCTCCATTGGCTCCTGGGAAGTCCAGTGGAGTGACATTAAAATCCTTGTCCTGATTACATTTCTTTGAGTTGCTTCTCCTAGCTGAAGAAGCAGAGAGGTGTTTGCTAGACAATGCTATGTTGTTTTAGCTGGTTAAACTCCAGGAGTTTCATTGTAATTTATTTCAACCAAGCTATTCTCCTGTCAATTTTCATGTGGTAAATAATCACAGTTCATATCCCTTTTCTTGACTAATAATTTTTGCTGTACACATCTGTGAATATTGCATACTTCCTTATTACTCCCACATAGGCACCATCCTTACCTATAACAGAAAAAAGTTGCATTTGAAATAAAACCTGCATCTTCAGTGTTGTGAGTCTTATGAATCTTCAAGGTGCTTGGCCCTCTTGTTAAAATTGTTGTGTGCAGTCTCCCACAGCTTGTGCGTGTGTGTGAGTGTGAAGGGGTGAGTGAAAATAGGCATTCTGCTCATTATTTATTAAAGCTATCAAGATTTGTGTCCACATGTTTACTCTGGGGGACAGATTGTGCCACAGCTAGGGGTTCGTCTTAGATGGATCCTCAGTTTAATTTCTCATCTACTGGACAGCAACTATGGATGAAGCATTCCTCCAAATATCAGACAATAAACTTGAGCAAAAAGATGTATGAAGTTCGTGGATGTGTTCGATTCAAGAAGAAGCACTGTATGGTGCTTGCTTTCTTCTTGTAGACAATGGGCAGGTTGCTCATTGTTTGTAATTGATTATGAGATTCATTATCTGATTCTATTATGTGGCATTACTAATGTTCTTTTTTTTAAAAAAAAGCTACATGCTTGAATTCCTGCTGGGTGAAACTGCACAGTGTTATTTTCAATTGAAGGTCAACTTGGAAAGGGCCAACTTTTCCGGACAGTGGGTTCACAGATTATCTTAGAATCTGAAATATTCTAGATATGTCTCGCATAAGGGTAACTCAGAAATTAATTTTAAGAGTTGAGCTGATAATTATAAATGCAACACTAATAATTATTCATACCTCATTTTGTGTGTGAGGGGGGAGGGGAAGGAGAGAGCATATTTCCAGGTATCAGTCATATTTTGCTGTTGTGTTAACCGTTTTCTTCAGATCTAGATTATCATTATTTGGTAATTACAGGGATCATTTTTAACATATTAAGCATGGTTTTTGCAGCTAAATGCGATTTGGTGCTTTCCGTTCTTGAATGGCAGGAATTATGGTGCTGCTGACAGAAGTGCTGTTCTTGTTTGTTCCTAGATTGACAGCATGCATGAACAGTTTCTCTATTAAGATTCCTAATGGACAACACTTATAAATTCACCCCCTAAACAGTTTTCATTGCTATTTCAATCAATGAGGATACTAAACATCATAAAACTAAGGGTTTTTGAGAGTTGCACCTTTTAGTTTGGTAGATATGAT